CTGCCAAGAGATGCTAAGCTGGGTACCTCCACGCGGTGCATCCTGGGTAATGCTAAAGCAGCCCGCAACTTTTATTTGACTTTAGTTGTGTTTTGAAACTTATAAAAACCATCTTATATTTCAATTTTGACAAAAAAATTCGAAGGCAAAGCAATTTCAAATGTTAACATAAAAATGGCGATAACTCGAAAACAACGCATTTTTTGACCTATGTTTGTATCAACTTTCTTTCTTGTTTTTGGTTCCCCATTTATCTCCCGAGCGATTGACCTCGACTTACGGAATACCCTGTATAGTAATATTTATTATTTCACAATTTTTATGGGTTTTATAATCTTATGCTTATAATAAAAATTAAACAATCTATGTAAATATGTAAAGGCATTCCCGTCCGATCACCCGTTCTCGAATAATAAAGTTCGTAATTTTGTCATATGACAGACAGGTGAAAATCAAGCAGGTGTGCGCAAAAAGAATTTGAAACGTATGATAGTGTTGTCTTATCAAAATAAGTCATCGCCATGGTAACCGCGTTCCCGTCCGATCACCCGTTCTCGAATAAGCTTCGAAAGTTTGTCATGTGACAGACAAGTGAAATGCATACCTTACGGTATGTAAAAATATGTAGGAATGCATCACTACTTTTAAATTTCTCGAACTGGATAAAAAGTAGTGATGTAAAAGTAGTAAAAATTAAACAATTTACGTAAGATACGTAAAAATATGTAAAAATGCATTTCACTTGTCTGTCACATGACAAACTTTCGAAGCTTATTCGAGAACGGACGGGAACGCGGTTACCATGGCGATGACTTATTTTGATAAGACAACACTATCATTCAAATTCTTTTCAAATTCTTTTTGCGCACACCTGCTTGATCTTCACCAGTCTGTCACATGACAAAATTACGAACTTTATTATTCGAGAACGGGTGATCGGACGGGAATGCCATTACCCCAGCGATGACTTATTTTAATAAAAAAATATTATTATATATTTCAAATTTTTCTCGCGCATACCTTTCACTTGTCTTACATACTTGATTTTCACTTGTCTTACATCATTTTCGGGTCTTATTATTCGAGGACGAGTGATCGGATGAAAATACAACTTCTACTGCGATTACTTATTTTGATAAAAATAATTATTTAAATACTTATTTTGATAATAGAACACCCTCATGCACTTAAATTTTTTTATGCGTACTTGAAATTTTACCTCTCTGACTTGTGCTGACTTTATTCCCACATAGCAGAAATGTCCCGAATACATCACAAGGATATTATAAAGATATCTCAATATCTGTAGGATATCTCTATGATATATTCGGAACATTTCTGCTGTATGGGTTATAGTATCATGGGTTATTATAGTATCATGTTTTCTCATTAAACACAGGCCAAATATCTTGACATTATCTGTGTACGATCGTACTGCAATTTACTTTGAACTGTATCAATATTTGGAAACTTACCTATAGCAGATAAATTTGGAGGCTACGTTACTTGAAATAACAAGAAATACCCATTGTAGATTTCTATATCGGCGGAGGTGTTACCATGCGCAGGTTAATGTTGATGAATTGACTGTTCGTATGAATCACGTTTCATGTTTAGTTAACACCTCGTCGACGGAGGATAGTTGGTGACTTATCGTTTTGCTAAAAATTAGTATTTCTTAAAGATTATATATTATTTGAGTTTCTTTTGATCGGAAAGATTTTTCAGATGTATCTTATTGCGCAAAAAATTTTGAGATGCGTTCGTTATGATTATTATGATCATATTCGTTACATCTGTTGAGGCGCAAGCAAATTTTGTTATGTAATGACTTTATTCACATAACGGGAAAACCTGCTTATAATTATTTTCGAACTTGTCATTTTAAAAGTGATCAATTTCAGGAAGATTCTCGAACTGGATAAAAAGTAATGCATCTATAAAGATTATTACACCTTTCACCTGTCTGTCACATGACAAAATTACGAACTTTATTATTCGAGAACGGACAGGAATGCCATTACCCCAGCGATGACTTATTTTAATAAGAAAATAAGAAAATATTATTATACGTTTCAAATTTTTCTCGCGCATACCTTTCACTTGTCTTACATACTTGATTTTCACTTGTCTTACATCATTTTCGGGGTTTATTATTCGAGGACGAGTGATTGATTGAAAATACAACTTCTACTGCGATTACTTATTTTAATAATAGAACACCCTCATGCACTTAAATTTTTTTCTGCGTACTTGGAATTTTACCTCTAGTAGTAAAGATTATTACATGCACGAATTGTCGTCGATTGAAAACTCACCGATCCGTCATTATAATAATGGTTTATTGTTGAAGTGATATAGATATAATGATTCGTAACGTATTTAACTACAATGATAGGTTTCATATATCTAATACAGTCGTGTTTATACATGGATTATACAATATTTACAACATAACTTAAAATCGTACAAGCAATAATTCTTACTTTTTTTTTGGACAATTTCACAGGACATTACGCCACAGACCGATGGCTATCTTGGGGGATATTTTGTCCGCGTTACACAATATCTCGTTCGCTCGCGTAAGGTTTTTTAATGCGACATACATATGACACGCGTCCCTTAAGCGCGGGTCGACCGTTTACGTTACGAAAATTTTGGTAATACGCTAAAAATGTGTACACACCGACTGTTCGAGATACGCTATCCGCTTCGCTATACTTATCTATCGGTCACACATCCATTTATATGTACAATATAACTTTGTCCACGATTCTCTCGCGCAAGGGCATCGTTCTTTCGTACTTTCTCGGAAAGGAGAAAGGGATATTATATTTTATAGCTTTTCACAGAGAAATAGACTCGTAACTTTATATAATATGTATACCCCGGGCGTATAATCGTTTCGTCCCGGTTCGTGGATCATCACAACGGAGAAACACGGTGCATTTTCGTGAGACGTACAAATTCATGAAACAAAAAAAAAGTATCATCTATACGACACCATGGAAACAACTGCTGATTGATAATTGATTAGTCGGAGATTAAAATCACTGAAGAGAGCGTTTGACAGTTTGGGAACTCACGTTGACCTCCATACGAATAATTTACATCGCTGGAAATTACTCTTACACGCGCGCACACACACACACACACATACACACACATATACACCGAAGAGACGAACATTCTATCCGGCACATCTTTCTTTCGAACGTAAAAATATAATCTGATTCGCGTGGTAAGTACAAAACGTCGATATGCTTCGGTGCATCGGATTCGATCGCCACTCTGTCCTTTCTCCGTCGGATCGCCCCGACAACATGACGGAGTTTGCGAATTTCTCGGTGTGTGCTCTTCTCGCGAACAAATGAACACCGCGTATACATTAAACGGTAAGCAACTATTGGCGAGCTTTGATTTTTGACAAGCGCGCGCGACACATACTTAGAGGAAGCGGCACAGCGCGGTGGATTTTGTCTCGAATTGCATGTTCGTTCTTTCTTTTATTTGGTTTTCTCTCTTTTTAGTAGCGTTACGCAACGGACGAGACGGCCGATCGATAGGTCGTCCACGGATTCATTCGGTATCCCTGCCTCAGCTCCATCACCAAATGAAAAATCAGAGATAAATTCTACCGACATAGAGAGTGTTTACCGAGGATGGCGTATGGCTTTTGAGTTGCTCTTACAGTTGCCCGCTGCACGCGCACGTGTCGTCTCACCGTGTAACGCTCGCTCTCCGGGTCGCGCGCGTTACAGGTGGTCCGTCTCCTTTCGTTCCTTTTCTTTTTTCGCCTTCGATACAGGGGAGAACATACATGGAAGCCGTTACACGAGTATTAATTTGTGAGTATGTACATACACGTAGGATCGATTATATGTGAAACTTCGCCGCGTTATCAGTCATGCCGATTACGAGACATCGTTTGGCAAAATACACGCAAACCCTCCGTAAACTCGAGAGAAAGGAAGGGGAGAGGGAGAGAGAAAGAGGGAGAGAGACAGAGAGAGAGAGAGGGAGAGAGAGAGAGAGAGAGAGACGAGTATAAAATGTTAACTGTGTTTTACGATTTACGGAGGATGTTGTTCTCGGAGGTGAAACAATTAACACACTACGGTAATAAATAATTCGTCTCCAGCGGATAAAAATCATGCGCTACGCATAAATATTTCGTCGCGCATACAAGTCCGGTCGCTCCTTTTTGCGCGACACGCTCGCGTCGTCTAGAACGTCAAGTTCTCGCAAAATATCTTATTTACAAACTCGATAACAAACGACATCTGTGTGTTGTATGCATGAATTTTGGTCGCTGCTTCGCGGTTGCGAAGAGAGAAGAGAGAGAAAGAGAGAATACTTTTGAGATTCGGGTAAATTTATTACGCGACACATAATTCTGCCGGCCAGTAGCTCTTCGCGCGCATCCACACTCGATAGTGCGATGTCCTATTCCTTGGAGAAAAAATTATTTGTGCTGTTACATATGCGATTTATTAAACATTTGGTATTATTTATGTAAATAATTACATTCTTTATGCGAATACGATAGATTCTCTAGACGGCAGCTGTGTCGGAATTGGGAATTCGCGAGGAGAGAGGTGAAGTAAATAATAAATAAATTATAAATTAGATTACACGTTGTGTGTGCGAACGTGCGTAGCGGGTGGAGAAAAAAGTATTTGCACACTTAACTCTCTTCCTTCAGCATAAATTTAGACAAAAAGTGAAAAGTATCGTTGCTAGGTTCCTACTTGACTATACAGTTTTCAATTGTATCAATACATCGTATAATAACATATATTTCCTTGTTGCAATATTCCTTTCTTTTTTACATAAGATTATCCCTGTTTCAAACGGGGCAGACTATGCAAATACTTTCCTTCACTCGCTGCATGGCGTACGTTTCATTGGCGATGCTTCGATCGTTTTCTATAATGTGTCGACAATTACGATATAGATAGTGAATAGTCGATGCTATTACATCAAATTACTGTATTAGTGGCTTCTCCTGTGTTAACGTTCGATCAAAAGAAGAAAATCGAATATAATGCAAATAATATCTACAATGAATATAACGTAAATAATATTTTTTCGTAAGATATACGATGCGTCGTGTTCAATATATATGTATGTCAATAGTACACTTATATCGATATTACGTACGTACTAAAAAATCACAGATAAAAAGATTAAGATTCAAGATCCAGTCACTATAAATTAGCGCATTAGGTCATACGCGTACATATATATATATCTATATATATCACTATAAATTATTATTAAGTCATATAATTAACTTCTCTCAATATCATAACATTTTACGTTTAAAAAAAATATATATGTATACTTAAACATAGCCAATAATAGTCTCTCGTGTATCCGTTTGTTAGTGAATCTTTGTCTCAAATTATTTGCGAGATTAAAGGAGGCTGAAGCGCCGCAAACAACTCCGACTTTTTCAGCGAGATTGCTGACTTTAAAACAAAAAACGTTTGATGCCGTGGCGTGTCAAGTAGCGATCGTTCCTCATTAAAAAAGGAGAAAAAAAGTGTACATAACGTTAGGTAGACAATATAAATCGCGGGTGGCCTACGGAACAATTATTTACAACGATGAAGCAAAACATCGCCGATGACGTAAACGAAGGATGGACGCCGAATGAACCACAACAACACTACGTCGTTATTAATTAGTCGCTGAACTCGAAGCACACAGACACCCGCGCGGCGCATCGCGTGTCGCATCTTCTGCGTATGTCCATCCATGTAAAGTGAACGATAACACGGTAATAAAGTTATTATCGTTACTATAATACTATATGATACAAGATATAAGTACATTGGTTTAGTGATTGCAGGCTGCTCCTCTCATATCACAGCGAGGGGCGCTGCCGGGCCCGCCTCCTAAATTACACCTACACCTACACGAGCTGCAACAGCAGCAACATTCATACACGTGTATACAACTCGCAAATTCAAAATTCACGCCCTGTTTCGCACCGATAGAATATTTTTCATCCATACACACATACATATACATATACACATATACATGTATATATGCATATAATCATTTATCTTCATATTATTTATAATATATATATGTATATATATATATGTATACGTATGTTTTTTATATATGTATATATTTATATATAATATAGATAGATCCATATATATATATATATATATATATATATATATATATATATATATATAAAATCATTATGTATATATTTATAACGCAGCCTTAGTTAACCCGGAGAGGTGCCCACCGCTGTCGCGAATGGACGGTCGAATTGTGTCGGGGACACCTGTTAGGACACGACGCCACGTGTCTTGCGGCCCTAGATACACCTACGCTCGCCCTAATCGCGAGCCGAGCTCAGTCTAGGCGCCGTGCCTAGCTCGGGGATTCCTATAATCCCGTACGGAGGATTCGACGTTGCGACCATACGTAACGTAACGAGGCTCGATCGCGCACGCGATCAATATTTAAGCGGAGCGTCTCGCCGGCCCGCGTCAGTCGCGGCGGACTCTGCCGGCTTGAATAAACGATGAATAAACGGGGACGCGATCGAGCCCCGAAATTCTCGAATCTCGAGGTTTTCCGCGTCGAGAGATCGGCGTTGTTCTCGCTCTAGCCTAAGTCGGAAGCCGTTAACGGACCGGCCGACCGACCGACCAATCAATCGATCGTCTATCGATCATCCCTTTTAAACGCATTAAGACTAGTGTGATAATAGGAACATGGCGTCTTCGTTCGCTAGGATCGGGACCACCGGACATTGGGAGGAAGAGGAGATGGGACTGGACAGACGGGACAGGGATATGTCATCGCGTGTACGCAGAAGAGAAATGCCAAGTAACTCGACCGCCAACTTGGGTCTTATACGATTCCGCGCGTTCATCCCCGAGGCGATCGTTGCCATCGTGTGCCGTTGGAGATCGCGCGAGTCCGAAGATCGTCCTGCTATGAAACGCACTGCTGGGAAACACCACGAGATTAATCAAATGGTCCGCAGCACTTCCTGCGACCACCTCCTCTCTCGATCACTTTCACGGTGGGATCACCGTTGCAGTCGCGCGGATCGGAAACGCTGTCTCCACTGTCGCGACGAGAGCCCGCTTTTCCCATCCGGATCGCGTGTCCGAACCGTCGAGAACCGATACGTCGACGGGGAGACCTTCGCCGACCGGAGGACGGAGGACGGGGTCAAGAAGACTGCCCACAATGTGCATGCCATTAGCATTCGCTCGCCGCGACTCCTCTTTCTCTTTCTCCTCCTCCTCCTCCTCCTCCGCTCGTTAAATTATTCAGTCTGGGGAGTTCTCTCGAAGGAATCGATCATACGATCAGCCTCTAGCTCGGTCGAGCCTCGGTGAGCGCGGTGAACGGGCGATTGCGCCCTCCGCGGCTACGACGTGGTGAGATATGTATTCGTTAAACTTCACGCGGCCAATCCCTCGCCCCTGGTCGGCGGTGGCGGTAGCCGCGCAGCGGGTGGCGTCGCGTCATTCTCACCTCTGCTCGGCGTCTCTCGGTCGAAGTGATGTTGGAGCGCGTCGCCGGCGGTCCAAGCGGTCACGCCGGCGGAGTTTTGGCTGCCGCTGTTGGAGGACGGCGTGCCGGGCGAATGCGACGGCGACGGCGTCTGGAACAGCATGGAGCCGGAGGGAATCGCGGACTTGCCGTCCACCAAGGGTCCGTTGCTGCTCGCCGCCGTCGGCTGCTTGTCCAGCGGGAAACCACCCCCGCCGGCGCCGTACACCGAGCCGAACAGGCTCGCGTACTTGCCCGCGCCCACGGAGTGCGGCGGTAGGCCGTTGTTACTTTGAATCACCGAGATCTCGTTCAGCTGTAATTAATAACGCACACCCCGTCTGGTTAGATTTGTTCGGGAGCGACAGAAATAAAAATGGACGAGGATTCCTCGTGTGCGAGATCCCACGAGACACCTTGCTTTGCGAATTAATTAAATTTTACATGACAGAATGCAGTTAATATACAGCTAATAGTTAATACAGTTAATAGTAAGTTAATAGTAAATTAATAATATAATATAATATAGTTAAATATACTTTAATTAATTTTTTTCTTTCTAAGTTAGGTTTCTTTTTTCTTGCTTTTTTAGTGCGACGGTGCGCAATCATGAAGTCTCTCGTGTCCTTTCATGATCATGTCATTTGATATTTGAGTACAAGATGCTTGTTTTAGAATAAAGTTAATTAAAGTTTGAGTAAAGTTGAGCTTACCTTCTGCTGGACGCCGTTAAGGAACGGCGCGGGAAGGTACGGGTAAAAGAGATCCGGCCGTCGTTGCAGAAACTCCGAGTCCTTGGGCGTGATTGGCAGGGGTGGCAGATCCAACGACATTCGTCGACCTCGACGCGACGCCCCGTTGGACCACATGTGAGTGCCCAGGTGCACCTACGATACAGAAAACGCGAGGACGAAATTAGACGTGTCGTTCGTCCCGGGTCTTACGGGATGATTTCCTATCATCGGGTAGGCGCTGATCTTTCATCGAGCTCGAGTGAGATTTGGACGTCGCGCGCTGTGGCGTTAGTGGAAAGCGATAGCGGCTAGCTGCTGTTAGTAGAGACTATTGGCGCCAGGTAGCCTTGTGGAAGAGCTCAGACTTTCGGACGGGAGTTAGAAAATATAATATATATACCTTGAGGTTGCCTTTGGTGGTGAAGGCCTTCTGGCAGACGTGGCATGGGAATGGTTTGTCGCCAGTGTGGGTTCTCATATGGATCTGGAGCGCCGAAGACGAGGAGAAATTCTTATTGCAAATCTGGCACAAGTGCTTGCTCACCACGCCTGCAAATACACATAACGGTTTCGCTGAACTGCCCCTGACTTCGTTCGATGGAGAATATGATCTAATTGTCGCTCTTTGCGTCTCGCGGTCAATAGTAAGATAGTGGAATTTGTCAAAATTATGCGGCCTACGTAGAATAGACAGCGGTTCGGCTCGGGAGAGCCTTCGTTCGCTAAATGAAATAATGACAGCTCGCGCGTGTGAGTGAGTGGTAACGCCGGTATCACAAGAAATTCAGCTCGTTCCGCGCACCAACCGAAGAAATCAAAGAAACAGAAGAAGAATACTAGAAGAATATGAGCGCGTAACAGCTCCGTCACCAGCGATTCAGCGTGCGCGATTGCAAAGTACGTGAAAAAAAGGAGGAAAAAGCATGACGAAGAAGCGGCGGAAGAATCAGAAGGAGGAACAGAGCTAACAAGCGTGCGAAGCAATAGCAGCAGCAGCGTCGGACAGACCAAACTATGTGGTTTTCGTTAACGACAAGGGCTGCAGTGGCGATTAACGACGCGTTAGCGATAAAGAACGGGTCTGCCGAGCGAAGCTGAGTCTGGATAATACGTATGGTGCTCGATGAAGAAGCGGATTGAGTCTGTTTTTCTTTCTTTTTTTCTTTCTCTCTCTCTTTCTCTCTCTCTCTCTCTCTCTGTCTTTCTTTCTTGACGGGAAAGCGAGCGAATGGCGTACTCACTGGCTGATCTCTTCGGCGCTGGTAGATTTCCGTCCGGCGGTGACCTTTTTACCGGGATCGCCGATTCGATAGATGTCGGTGGCATCGACGGGGGTGGCGGTGGCGGCGGCGGTGGAGGAGGCGGTAGGCTCGAGTCGTCGGTGCCCATAGGACTCCTGGAAGTCTCGTGATCCTGAGATTGCTGCTGCTGCTGCTGCTGCTGCTGCTGCTGCTGCTGCTGCTGCTGCTGCTGCTGTTGCTGCTGATGTTGCTGTTGCTGCTGTTGCTGTTGCTGTTGGTGTTTTGTGTCGCTGAACAGATGTGGCGGCATATCGCGGATCTTGTGAGTCAGCATATGCTGCTTCATATTACCCTGCGAGTGAGAAAACATATCCTTTTGTATTTAATCAAGCAAGTGACGGTACTGCCTAGAAAAGAACAGTCGTGGCATTGTTATTAATTATTGGATGTTTCTCTCAAAAGCGAAACGATCCTCTTCTCGAAGCTTCGGATTGAAATACAATACGAAGACTATGGATAAATCGGCCAACAAATCGTGATTTACTATAAACCTTTCTCTTTCTTCTTCGTATCATTTTCCCGTCTGAAAGTTAACCCGTGTATCCTCGATTCGTTAGACTCGAAATACCCCTCGAGGATACTTTCTGACTTCTTCGAAAGAACAGAATTTTGTATTTTCAACTAGACGCGACGTCTCATAGTCCTGAAAAGATGAGAATCGAGAGTTCGCCGAGATATTGCGTTTTTACTTTTAGGTCGTGCCGAGGCTCTCGTTTGCGAGACGCAGGTGTTCAATACTATCATGGCGCGATTGGGTAATTGCGCGACTTGGCCAGGACGTTATCGACCGTATGAGATCGCGGAGGACGAACGTGAGTACGCTTACTGTTCAGAAGGCTCTTACCAGGAAGACGTGGTCCGAGGGTAGAAGTCCGAGGGCGGGTGGCATCAGCGGGGGCAGGCGGACGACAGGATAAACAGACGTCAGCCTTCGCCCCCCTCCTGTTCCTGTCCGCCCCCGGTTCTTCCGCTCCTCAGGCCGCCGCCGCCTGCGTTTCGGTTTCTCACGACTTCCGACGGCCGATCTCGCCGGATACGAGTGATATTGGGGATTGGGTTGTGGGGGGATCGGACCCTTCGCGGCAAAGGGTTGGTCCGCGCAGGAGCATACTTGTTGACCGGAACCGTCGTTCTGAAAGTATCGCAGAACAACGAGAATATAGAGGCGGTGCGAGCAGGTAAAATACGTGTCTCATGCATAAGAAGCTCCGTACGAGAATCGCAATATCTCCGACGTTTTAATATCGATTAACTATTAAGTATTCGCGCGTGTCGATCTTGGTGATTACGTTATTATTGGATATTTCAGTAACATCAAATATCGAAAACGATGTGTATATTATACTGAAAAAAGATTTGATAATATTCAATTAGCCTGGATGATAGTTACTAAATGCTTTGGTGAGACAGTTTCAACTTAACATATAAGTGAATATAATAAAATAATTTGGTAAGTATTGGAAAATAGCCTTAGTGAGGCTTGTTATCTGTCATCAAAGTTTAGTAACTATTACCATATTTGGTATTTACCAAATATCATACTGAAATGTTTGACCAAATGCATTTAATTATTATCAGACTTTACTTTCAATGTAAGGAGGGAAAGAGGACGGAGCAGAAGGAAAGAAGGCAGTATGTTATTTAGAGTTTTCTCTCTCTCTCTCTCTCTCTCTCTCTCTCTCTCTCTCTCTCCCTCTCCCTCTCTATATTAATATATCGTATATGAACGACTGATATATTTTCGCAATGAAATGCGTGTAAATACCAAGAGAGTAATATCGAGATAATTGTACGTGCGTCAGAATCAGCGATTTATTTCGACATGTGGTATGAATTGCACCAAGGTAGCGCAATATGTACAAGCGAGAGGAAGAGAGGGAAAGAGAGGGAGAGAGAGAGATTACCGGGCCGCGATATATTCGCTCTTTCGAGGTAAAGTAAATTTAATTACCTTCGTGGAAAAGCCTCGGTCGCATATGGTGCATTTGAAAGGTCGCTCCTTCGTATGACTCCGGTAATGAATCTCTAATGCGGAGTTGCACGCGAACGTCTTGTAGCAGATATTACATGTGGTGTTTCCACGTACTGTAACAGATTGTATCGCTTTACAATTTCGACTCCTGCCTGCCGCCCGCCGTGTGTACCATCGTTTTTGTTTCTCTTTGAGGACATGTTTAATTTTCCGCGCTTATATTGCGAACACCATCGATCTCCCGTGTTTCTCTTTTTGTGTAAAATTTCTCGTGTCGTTTCCGACAGGTGTAATCTGCGTATTCGGTAAGATTGTGTATTACCTCCGGGTATGCGCGATAGCTTTTATTTTAACAAGTATATATAATTAACTGCGAGAAATCAAGATAAAGTGAAATGGAACAGTAAAGAGGATGGGGGTGAATCGTGAATGCAAGAATAAATTGTACAAAAAAAATTTTATTTCTTGATTTGTACAATGTGTAACGTTACCGAGTAAATGCTACACCATATAAATGCTAAGGCGCATGATTTCAAAATCACGATCAACTAAAAGAGTAACATCTACTACGATAATAATAACAAAACAGTTTACGCTTACAAAACTGAACGAGGAACTTACGGTACGCAAATATTTCTCTTTCTTCCTCTCTCTCTCTCTCTCTCTCTCTCTTTCATGTACATCGATATAAAATATTTTTCGTCATCTTTCCTCTAATCACAAAACAGTAAAAACATTTTTTGCGTCAAAAGTGATGAAACGATTCACGGTTTGTGTGCGCGCCCTCACTACAGATAAAATGAATACAACGAGAAACAGAAACTATCGTGTGAGACTATAGGAGATACAGAAGGACAAAGCGTCAAGGCGTGTAGTATCTCGTAGTGTAGACATGAAAAATAATACAGAGACAGATAGAAGTAGGCACATTCACAGACAGCTACTGTAGAAACAGAGGCAAACGAAAGAAAGTCAAGACGAGAAGTATAAAGACCTGGGGGAGACCGGGAGTGCTAGGTCCGGCTACACCACAAGTGGGGAACGTTGGCGTGAGACTGGGACAGAAGTGGTGGAGACATATCACAGGGACAAAGAAGGGAAGTGTGTACTCGACGAGACGTGGGTTCAGCGATACGTGGCAAAGAATCGTGATCGTCGATCGGAGCAGGGGAGGGTGTAGCAGGAACTGCAGCTCGGCCCGATGCTAGCAGCGCCTACCTGCTGACCCTCCGACAGCTAGACCGAGCGGATTGTAGGAGGACGTCGCGGCTAGTACGGCCGAGGTGGTCAGGGAAGCTAATGGTCCGCTGCCACCGCTTCCCGGCGTCACGGCGCTCATCGAGGCGACGCTGTTTATGCTCGACGAGCCCATCGTGCTCGTGGCGGGAGTCGAGGACACCGCTTGCAGCAGCCCTGCGAACATGCCGAAGGGATGCGGCGGATGATGCGGTGCAGGCTGGGGTGGCGGTGTCGGTGACGCCGAAGCCACTGACGCTGGCGTCGACGAGGCGCGCGGAGTCAGATCGAGCGGCGCGCCGGATGTCGGCGGACTGTCGCTCTTCTCGCTGCCGTTGTACCGATGATAGGGCGGCGACCTGGCGACGTTTGCCACCGTGGTCGTGGCTGTGGTCGTGATGGTCCTCACTTGGTTCTCAAGTGCCGCTAGCGACGTCGAGAACATCGGAAGAGGAATGTCCTTGTGCTCGGTGTCCTCGCCGTCGTGCTCGTGCTCCTCCTCGACGTCGGCGCTGCGTCGGTCGCGATTCATCTCGCACCTCTCGTCGTCCTCCCTGCGATCCTTCTCATCTTCTTCTTGGTCCTCCACTTCTTCGTTGTGATCCTCCATGAATCTCGGCTGTGGCTGCTGCTGTTGGCGCGGTTGTTGCTGCTGCTCGTCTTTCTGTTCCATGTCGTTCTCCTGCACTTGTCGCTCGACCGTTGTCACTTGTCTCGGAGGGAATCCTAAAAAGCCACTACTAGTCGGATGCAATGGCGGGAATGCTTGCGGCAAGAAGGATGCCAGCGGATGGTGATGGTAACCGGACGGAAATTCGTTCACTTCCTCGGCTTGGATCTGTTCCGGACTGAGATCAGTGGGCTCGCCGGTGTGTAGACGTATGTGTTGCTGGAGCACCAACGAGTTTGTGAATTTCTTGTGACACACGGGACACTGGTGCAACACTCGCAACGGAGGCTTCGCCCGATGCACTCCCATGTGGGTCTTCAGATTACCCTTCGTGGTGAACGCGCGGCCGCAAATTTTACATTTGAACGGACGCTCACCTGTATGAGTACGGTAGTGCATTTGCAACGCACTCTTGCAGGAGAGCACTCGGTGACAAATGACGCACTGATTAGGATCGGTCAGTTTATGCTCGATGTTGTCTACCAGTTGCTGTAGCTTGGACGTCTCCGAGGTTTTCGTGATTTCAATAAGACTCTCCCAAGAGTTATCATTGCTGCCTGGTCGCGGTAATAGGCTCGAATAAATCGCCGGATCCTTGGCCGGATCGATCATCTCGCCCGCGGAAATAATTGGCGCCGCACTACCCGTCGTTGCGGACAGATGAGGCATCTGATGGTGCGCCGGTGGGCCTGGAAATAGAATTCCGGCAAACGAAGTCTGGAGACTGCCGCTACTCGCGCTACTGCTAGCTGGAGACGCTCCCGGATACGCGATCATCTGTTGCGGCAGGCGACTAATCGCACCTCTGCCGGACAGATTCTCTGGCTGCTCTTCCGTCTCTTCGTCCATTTCCAGATCACCGTCGCCCTCCAAACGCCCACTGATCTTGCTGTCCATACTACAGTCCTCGTACGTTTGCGGCTGTGACGACGGATTCACCGAAGATTGAGGCGAATTCAAGTATCGCCTCGTGGTCTCCTCGTAGTCCTCGGCCTCTTCCTCCACTGGTTCCTCCGTTTCATCGGGCTCTCTTTTCGGAGTTATTCGCCCGGCGTTCTCTTGACTCGTCGGTCGCGGTTGGTATTGTTCCTGTCCCGGCGACCTGTGCTCGAGCTTGATCTCCTCTCTTTGCTCGAGCTGTTGCTGATGCTGCTTCTGCTGTGCAGGCTGCTGCTGTTGGTGATTGTCGTGAAAGGAATGACGAGAGTTCGACATGGCGACGGGGGAATGCGGGGACGTCGACGGGGCGGCGGTTACGGGTTTACTAAGGTTCTCCGGCACATCCTGATCGTCCCGGTGATTAATATTCTGTGGTCGGTAAATGGGTGGCATACTAGGCAAGGTGAGACTCAAAGGTATGGGCGGCTGAGGTGGTAGGAAATTGTGCGTTGCCGCCGGATGAAACGAGGGATGATGAGAGGGTGGCGGTGGCGGTGGCGGGGACGGCATTGGCCTCTGCCCAGAAGCGATTTGCTGCAAGAGGGGTGGGTGGTACTTGTCTAGATGTTCTGGAACGGGATTCGGATTCATCTTTACGTGCGGAAACTTGGCCGTATGCCTCTGGAAGTGGACCTTCAGGTTGCCCTTAGTTGTGAATCGGCTGCCGCAGACGTTGCACTTAAAGGGTCGCTCACCTGTGTGGGATCGTATGTGGATCTGCAACGCCGAGTCACTACCGAAGACCTTGCCGCAATAGCGGCACCGATGCTTGAAGAAGGGCTCGCCGCGGCCGCTCGATTTCGAGTCGTACGGTTGTAGGCGTGAGCCTTTGCCGCTTCTGAACGCGAGCTCATCGGCCAGATTGTTGGCCAAAAGGCCTTGACTTGCATTGTCCAAGACTTCTTGGGCGCGTTTCTGCAGCATCTCCAGAGTATTTGGCTCGTGAAGCGGCGGTGGATCCGTGTTCGTTATGATTGACGAGGCGAGAGAAGAACTTATCGAGCAATGCGGTATCTGGTGCGGCTGCGAGATTTGGCTGCAAGCGGTCGTTGCCGTGGTCGACGTTGCACTGGCCGTAGACAGGGGTAGATTCAACGGGGAGGCACTGCTCGTCGAGGTCGGCCTCTCCTGAAGCAGATTCGGCGTCATCGGCGCCGGTGACGTCTGCTGATGATGACTCGGCGGTCGCGAAGTGGGTGGCGACGTGAGAGTCGATAATGGTTTCGTGTGAATGATCGGAGATGGCGACGCCTCTTTGCTGTCCACTGGATCCGTTGTCGATGCTTGTGGCACGGTTTGGCCGTGAGTGATCGACAATTGCTGCTGCAGCTGACTTATCAACTGCAACTGGAATACCTGTTGATGCTGAAGTGTGTATAACGTGCTTTGCAGAAAAGCCAGATCCTGCAGAGCCGCCTCACTGTCAGCACCACCGGCGAGGGCAGTTGCCGCGAACTGAGCCACCGCTACCTTCGTGTTCTGAAGGGCTTCGAGAGTGACGTGACTAGTCCCAGCGGGTGGGAAGATGGAGGAAGCCGCTCCGCTTTCCACAAAATTATTATTGTTCTCCGCGTCTTGCCGATGGCGAATCTGTTTGCGAGATCCCTCCTCGTCCTCCTCCTGATCATCCTGTTCGTCGACGCCTTCTTCCTCCTCCTCTTCCAAAGGATCCTCGGCGTCTTTATCGTCGTCGTCGCCATGGTGCGGCCTCGTCGCGGTGAGATCCACGGCTTCTTCGCCAACTGCTCCGCCACCGCCACTTTCTTCACCGTCTGAAGTGAAGTCATTTTCTTCTTCTGAAACAGAACGATGAAGATTGATGATCGATAAGAGTTACTCGTTTTCCCTCTCCCTCTCTCTTTTCCTCTCTCTCTCTTTTCTACGTTAAGAGGAGACATCAATTTACAGATGTCGCAGGCGATAATTTCGCTCTCACGAACGACATTCTGGTCGCCGTCGTGTCTTGAAAAATTCGTAACTCGGCAGATGGCATTTTTCATATTACATGCGAAATATGCACACGCTGATAACGCCGTATACATGTCGTCGTTAAAATAAGGGCAAATACGTGCGCTGCCCTGTGTGTTTTTAAAATTTCATCTGATGTCACTTAACGTGAGCGTCAAGGTTACCGTGGAAGATAAGTTGTCATCCAATATGCATATTTTACACTCAGGATGTGCGACGAAAGCAGAATCCTTAATGATACGGTGATACAAGCGGTGAGTTTCCGGTTTTTTTTACGTCGAAAACGCATTCTTTCCCGAGAGACCCGCTAATTTGCGATGATATTCGATAATATGTATTCGAAAGTAAGCATATATGTATTTTTTGCTCTCTTCTTTTTTCAGTAACTTTCACATTGGTGCTTCCGTTTACTCGAGACAAGTCAAACTTGCAAGTCCGCCTCTGACTTCGACGAAATTTGGCATATTTGTAGAATAAATAAACACATATATTTTTTATATCGGCAAAAGCTCAAGTTAAATTTAAGTGAAACTATCCTTCAAAGTTTCATCTCTTTTTTACCATCTTAGTAAAAATTTTAATTTATTAAAATGCAGTCAAAAGAGACGTGTGTATAGAATTCGTCATTTGTGTAGCGATGAAGCGCTCGCGCACATTACCGAGCATGCGATTCGTGGAACGGTTTCCATTTATGTATCTTTGTTCGTATAATTTAAATATAAAACAATATATACAGATGGATTCAGAAGAAATCTAACTTTTTTATTCATATAACGAATTTAATAAATTAAAAACTAAGGCTGACAAATATTAATTATTTAATTTTCTTCATCTTAATCTACTCTATTTTATTTTGCATAAATAAACCATATCACTTTTATTTAAGAAATTTCTTTTTATTTTTAATAGTTACCAAAATAGTTACCAATATAAGATAGATACCAAAAAAAGAGATAAAACTTTAAAGAGCAGTTTCACTCTTGAGTCTTGGCCGATAACAGAAAATACATATCTATTATTTTTGGCTACTTTACAAATATACCAAGTCTCGTCAAAATCGGAGACGGAGATAGTTCGCGAATGTTCTTTATTGGTGTATTTCGTCGCGCCGCGAGAGAAGGAGAGAATCGCGGTGCGATTGTTGCGTCAAGAAATACGAGGAAGTATGTCGCGTTAAATTTTAATGTCGACAAGCGAGAACTCTGCAGGCACGAGGGGAAGTATTTGTGTCAATGATAAAAATATATATAAGCACGACGATTAGTATGCTTCGCATAACGCGTGAAACTTGCGATCGGTTTCGCGCCGCACGAAACCGACAACAAGTGAACCGCGCGCCTGCTTTGCGCGACCATTGAAAAATGGAAATAGCGCGCGATTGTTATTCCCGACGTAAACTTTCCGCAGCTTAGAACCAGCCGAGCGTCGTTTCACCGCGCTACGTCAAATTTTAGCCCGCTGCTGTTCGAGCTACTCGCGGAGTCGCCTAGTTCTGCTCTACGAATTGTATCAGACTCATTGGGAGGGACGGGGGACGTAATTATGCAACGTCTTTGACGGTCAGAGTATCGCGTTTTTCGTACGCGAGGCTACATGTTCCTATGTTTGTACCTGCGAATGGCAACATTGCGATTCGACATTCGGTACAAATGAGTTTTCGTTCTGGCATCATAGGGGTCGTTGCGAGTCGCAACGCATACCTAGAAACTTTTGTCGAAAAACACTAAGAGGAGGAGTTCGAGGATCGAGCGCGTTCGATCGGTACGAGGCGCCCTTGAGTTGCGCCAGATATTTCGGCGCTTATGGACGGATTGAATCCGCTCTTCATCGTTTCACCGAGATAATCCGTGAAATTTCCAGTATGAGAAATGAAGTGCCGATAACGTTACCGCCGTCCGCATTCAACTTTCGAATTTCACAGCGGGTGTCCACGAGAAACGACGCATTTCGTAGAAGCCCTGAAGACGCTCGCCACAACAAATGAATCACTCGAGATTAGAATCTAAAATTTTCTCTTTTCGCTTTTGACGAGGCACGAAGATGCCCGTGGTAAGGAGCGCTTGTTTGTTTCTAACGAGCGAATATGGCAAAAAAGAAAAACATGTTTATCGAAGAAATGCTCTTCAAGAATTTCAGATCATCGGAATCGGTAAATAAAATGTCAAGTTTTTATCGGCACAATATTTACGTTACAACTAACACAACGTTCTTGTTGACATAAGGACTTTTATATGATCTCATAAACTCCTAATTTAATATGCAGCGGCCGCGAGCACGTTATATTACGTAGAATAAATTATTATCGTATCAAAACAGTTTATCGTATCAATTCGGACCTACGTGAAAGCCTACGTGAGGTTCAATGGTTCGCAACTTCAAAGCCCGCGGAAACATAATTTTGAATGAAAAACATTCTTTTATGGTGCGATTCGTGCGTGCAACGCAAATGTTTACTAATTTGCACATTTTTTCGCAATGGAAGTATGTCAGGTCGCAAGGCAGGGCAACTTACCCTGCACATTCGCGTCGGACACGCGACCAGACGGCGATTCGGCCAACAGCAGCGTGTTCTTCTCATGCCGCGACTTACTAAACCCGCGCGACTCCAATCGCCGCGTTATGCTCCACCTCATGAGTCGCATCTCGCCCCCGACGGGGGCTTGCGCGGAGGCCTCCTCCAGACGTGAGTCAAACATTTGACGCGTCGGTCGTACGCGTCATTCAGCCGGCGCCGAATGCAACAGCTATGCGGCGAATCTCGGATCCCGACAACGGCGCGCGTGTCGTCCCGGTAGCCGGAAGCGATGTCGTCGCAATGACATCGAAGAGGTCATACGGTCACACAGTGGGACACGGTGTTAACGCACAGCGGGTTGCTTCGAGCACGATGAACGCGTTCCCTCGGCCGGGGCACTCTCTGCTCGTGTCATCGAGCAAGGACGAAAACCGACTGATCGCTCGCTAAAGAACCAGCCTGGGCGTAAGTACGACGCGCAACACCACCATCCGTTCCGAGGTCCCCCACCAACATCACCATCGGCGGCGGTGGCGGCGGCGGTGGCGGCGGCGGCGGCACTCGGCAGCGGTGGTTTCCTCCGCATCCCACTCTCTGTCTCTCTGTCTCTCTTTCTCTCTCGCGGATATACCAGCGCGAACTTCCACCACCACCGGTTACCCTCCGCTTCGGTTATGACATGGAAGGCGGTGCGGTTCATAAATCAGGGGGAAAAGGGGCGGCGCTTACGCGAGCCACTCACCGTCGGGTTATTAATTATTATCCAGCGCCGGGCGCGCGATACCCTGCCGCCGTCGAGCTCTCGCCTCGCCGCCGCCGCCACCACCGCCGCCACCACCACCTACGCGCTCGCCGCCACCGCGCGTTAACCCTCCTGTCCTGTCCCCCAGATGTTCGCCAGCGGGAGGTCCGGAATCGCGGCGTCGCACCGATTTGCGCTCGATTTTGCCTCTCGCGCCGCGTACGCTCCGCGCGCAATAGATTCCGACCATTTCGCACGCGATGGATTGCGGATACGCGCGATCCCGCCGATAAATTACGCCCGCCGAGTATCGGGGCCCCCGCGAGCCTCGCGTTTCCGTAATTTCGAATGATAATGCGACGGTATTACGCGATAATCGATGTCGCTGATTTCACGTGACCTTCGTCGCGGCCAACCAAGCGTCAGGTCGCTCTATAGCGGTCCCGCGCAAGGTGACACGCGTCCGTCCAAATTTCCCCTACATAAGTAGAAGAGACAATGACGGTGACGTCAACATGACGAGAGAGAACGATCGAGAAGTGACTTGTCTCATCGCATTATGATACCATCGTGATCTGTTCTGCTCAAGCCCAAAATCTCTGTACCCCTCGTAATTACGCGCGCCAGAAAAGATGTTGCGCACGTACGAACCAACAAATATTGTTTTTCTAGCATTAACGATGAAAGCGCGAGACAGTGGACGACCTATCCGATTCTAGTCGTCATATATTTGATCGAGACAAAAGACGTCTCTTGGGCGTGGTCGTTTGAGCTCGTAGACACGCAGCTGAGTCGGACATTATCGGATTATCCGCGGGGTCTATAAAAAATAGCTTTAGCTCGATCACGTTGTCCCGGGCGAGATTACCGAGAGAATGATGTATTCACGAGCGCGTCGCGATAGTTGCAATTAATTAAGCGTGTAAAACGTTTTTTTTACGAGAAAACATGTTTAACGTTTCCATTTGAGAAGAAATTTGGCCTTCTCTCAAGCGGCAAATTATTTTTCACAATTAAAACTCCGCACTGAATTCACAATCTTTTGGCAGATGTAGACAGGTGATGTATTTCGAGCACAAGCTCACGACTAGTTTCATGCAGGACTGTCGTCCTGCGATCGACAGCGTGAGGTTTGACGTCTTCCTCCCATTTCAGCAGAATTGGCGAGCATAGTGTGTGCGGAGTCAAAAGCGTCCGAAGACGTTGGGGCTCTTTGTTGCGCAACGCACGAAATCCAACCGGGTCGCAGGCGACCCCCACGGAGCGGAAGAGAGGGAATGCATTGTCAGGGAACGTTCTAGGGTTCTCTCCGAGGAGTAGGCTTACCGCATACATCAATTCATACCGCGATAAATCATAAACTTCTAGGTAGGTCAGCCGAAACGGAGGAAAAGAGGAACCTGCCACGTCGACGAAGAACGCAGCCTGGGCGCGCTCGCTCTCTGACTAAGACTACTACGGACAATGCGAAAATGGGTCGGAAGTCATAATTTACGCTGGCGGTCTGTGCAACGGCAGCAACACCATCACCATCACCGTCGTCATCGCCGTCACCACTATCGGTGACGGCA